ACCAAAATTTTTTGACATATTCTAGGTTGTTTAGTTGAAGCGTCTACTTGATAGCCACAGCCTATATTGGAAGAGGTCGAATGCAGATTGTAAATTTTTTTTTGACATATCCTAGTATATTTAGTCATAGTGTAAAAATTGCTCAATGGTCACAATTGTTATGGAAGAGGTTGAATTGAGTCCCTTTGAAACTAATTAAGCCCAACAAAAAAATGTGTTATATATGCTCTGTGTTTCTCGAGTATGGCTGTACATTGATATGGATCACACTTTTTCTTGGAATTATAGTGGCAATTATATTCAAGAATGATGTTCGACAACTTTTTTATTGTTGCTTTTAAATTGGTTTCCCCCAATAAGGGTATTATCTACAAAAGCCTAGTCATTGTTTACATAACAACCCATGTATCCAATATTGGCAAGGTCAACTTCTTTATTTGGATGAGAAGGAACTCCAATATGATGTAGAGGCATTGAGAGAGCACTTTCTAGTTGGGCATTTGTGATAAGTGGTTGATTTTATTGTTATGTTAAGATGTTAAGATAAATTATCTTTATTTTATAATGAAAACTTCTCCTTAACCTATAATTGGTTTGAAAAAAACTTGATGAGATGCAAGAAGACAACCCCCACCATAATTGTTCCTAGGATGCTGATGTGAACGATCTTTTAAGACAATAGTAAAAGTTGTCCCTCACATTGAAGAATGCCTCAAAAATAAAATTTAGGTTGCTCTCCTTAAATTTGATGAATCCTAGAGAGGTGAGACAAATATTTGACACTTTTGATTTACAATGAATTACTCAACAAACACATTTAATAAGCTCATCAAAGGGATGCATGATTCTTCTTAGGAGTGAATAATACCGAGTACACAATTGTTCTTTAAGAGTAGCAAAAAAAAGTGACAAACGTGCATGCTAGAAGCTCGTTGAATGTGTAGAATGGTTTTGAAGTGATCAATATGTTATTTTGAGTCAGAATTTCCATCATAAGAATCAATGCTTGAAAGCTTGAACCTTATTAGAAAAGATTTTGACGAATGTTCTTCGCTATTAGATAAGACTCTGCAGAACTACACGGAGTAGAGAAATGAGTTCTATTCCTTAAAGAAAACTCTTACTTGTGCTAGATATTGTAACTCATCATTGATTATGTGAGATCAAGCAAAGTTCTCCACATGTATTGGAGGTTCACTGCTAAACTTGGAAACACGGGATGGATGTGTAGAGCTAGTGGTGTCTAGGAGGTACTAACGATGAACTTCTAATATATGGATTTTGAGATTGTTGCACCCCACCACTACACAGAATTGTTGGTTGTCAAGCCTTACACAAAAGTTGAAACATCTTACTTTGATACTCTTTTATTCTTCTTGTAATATATTCAAAAGGTGCAAAAGAGGTTTCTTTGCCAACCAGATGATGAGCATCATTTGGAAAAATAATAGAGTCATGAAATTGTGAAGATTATATATTTCAAGTCTGTTGGATGATTTTGAGTTTGCACCTTGGATTAATGTTGGGTGTTAGGGTGTGAAGCTTGTGTATTGCACTTGTTACTCATCGATGAAGTGTAGACTTATATATATATGACTTCATTTTCCATAAATAATGCTAAACATTTACATGCTAGAATATTTGTAATAGTAAATTAATCTCTTAATGTCTTGACATTGTATAATGATCTAGCACACGAAAAAAAATAAATGAAAAGTAATAGAATGAGATACCAAGATTTTTTATGTGAAAACCCCTAGAAATGGAAAAAAAAACATGAGGCCTAACCCAAGCAAAGTAATCTACCATGTAATTGTAAGTACACATCTTCAATCTTTTATTGAGTAAGAGAAGATGAAATAAAAAAGTTGATAATTATAGATATACAATATTATTTTAGCTATAATTGTCATAATTGAGTTGTAACAGATATGATTCTTAGCTATAATGACAATAGTTAGTCATAAAGATCATATTTTGTCGCTAAAAAGGCAATAATTATCCATAAAGTATGTATTCAGTGGTTGAAATAGAAGCAATTGGCCACATAGATCGTGACGGTGGCTGCAATAGGAAAAGTTGGCCACAAAAATCATAGTTGAAAGCTGTAGTAGTGCATTTGGCCATAAAGGTGGTAGTCGGTGACTGCCATGTTGTTAGTTGGACATAATTAGAAGTTATGGTGATAAGTGGATATGTATGTCATAGTTGATAGCTGCAATAACTGTTAGCAACATATGTCGTAGTTGGTTGCATATGTTATAATTTATAGATGTAGTACATTCAATTGGGCACAGAGGATGCAGTTGGAAGTTGTAGTGACAATTAGCCACATAGATCATAATTGGTCACATAAACGGAGTTAGTAGCTATAAGAGTGTCAGTTGGTCACAAAAATTGTAATAATAGTTAGTCACATAAGTCGTTGTGGGTCGCATAGGTCGTTGTTGATAGCTACAGTAACAATTTGCTACATACGTCATAGTTGGTCACATAGGCTGTAGTTGATAGTTATAGTAGCATCAATTGGCCACAAATTTCATAGTTGGAAGCTTCAATATCGTCAGTTGGCCATACAGGCTATAGTAGGAAGCTACTATAACAACTTGCTACAAAGGTCATATTTGATACTACACTTGTAGGTGGTTGTATCCCTTCTCTCAACTTTACTATTTTACGCTGAGACATCACTTGTCAGTATATAATGTATAAAAATTTTTAGAAGTCATCTTATTCCAAATATGATGATCATAAGTAGTCATCTTCAATAGTTATCATTGGTTTATATTCATGATACATTGTCATGTCGTATTCATGATACATCATTGCACCGTATTCATGATGTCATTACACCAAATTTGAAATGCATCATTCTTTAAGATAGTTTACTGATAGCAGTGAGCAGTTTCAACCAACTGTGGTTGACAATGGCCAGTAGATGATTGTTGATAGTGGTCGGTGGCTACGGAGGCCAAAAGTTATCATGCAACTTTAATACAGTGTTATTCGTTATTCTACATTTAAGATATGTCATTACACCATACTCAGAATACATAGTTACACCATATTCAAGATTTATGAGAAATTTCATTAGCTAGTAGATTTCATAGATATTGGCATGCAAGGACGATCGACAGTAGTTACCGTGGTCAATGGTTGGTGGTTGATGATTGTCCGCTGCTACAAAATCCAAAAGTTTTCACAGGACTTTAATACGACTTTATTCATACCAAATATTTGTGCTACATCATTTCACTATATTTGGGATGCGCCGTTCCATCGTATTTGGGATATGTCATTACAGCGTATTCGAGGTATGTTGCTAGCTAGCAAAGTTCATCGACGACAACGAACAGGAGCGGCTAGTGGTGGTCGACAATGGCTGGTGGGTGGTAGTTGATGATGGTCGACAACTACGAAGGCTAGAAGTTATCACTAGTACTTTAATACAATATTATTTATTACATCACATTTGGGATACATCATTCGATAGCAAAGTTTGCCAACATGTACGAGCAGAGGCTGTCAGTGGTGGCCAATGGTGGACGGAAGTCTACGGTGGTCAACCGTTACGGAATTCAACTTCCTCACCTCCCTCTCAAGTGAAGAGAAGGGGTCTATTTATAACATATAACATAAGGGCATTTAAGTCCTTTAGCGCATATCAACCACCTAATTGTGTGATTCACAATGATCCTTAATAATCATAGGATTTATTTTCATAATTTGAAGCATTTATAACCTCAAAATTAAGTAATCATAGGCTTGTTGGATTACTCTCATCAAGACAATCGATTTGACAATATGTATATCAAATTTGGAGTTCATTTGACTCTTCAATTAATGATCTAAAGCATTCAAATGCGTCCTAATGACTTGATCTGAACTTGATTGGCTCTAATTAGACATACTTTTGCTACCATCATGTTCTTCTTCTTAAGACATTCAATTTAACTATAAACTTGTTGAAAATGAGACCCCAAATAACCTTGAATATGAATCCGAAATGTTTATTATTTAAAGACATATCGAAATTCATGCCGCATGAACGCTGCATTAGTGATATTTTATAATTTTATTTTATATTGAACCATGTGAATTTTGCTTTCTAAGGATGGTAATTCCGATAATATATTTTAGGATTTTTAGCTAATGTTAAGGAAACAAAAAAGGCCAAAGAGGAAGATTTGCATACATATCACTTAATTTAATGTATTTATATGTTTAACATCTAAATTTTAATTTTTAAGTAGAAGCCATTTTATTTTTGCATAAAAGATATTTTTTACTTTTTTAAGATAAAATTACGAATTTTTTTTAATGTGATATAAAAAATTTAACTGGTAAAAATATAAAAAAAAGTTTACGCATAAGATTTGTAAATAGATAAAAATGGGGAGGCATGTATGTAAATTCCCAAATTAAAATGTCAGCTAGAAATATTGTATAATACTCAATAATATATAAATTAATGTAATGTGATATAAAAAATTTAACTGGTAAAAATATATAAAAAAAAAGTTTACACCTAAGATTTGTAAATAGATAAAAATGGGGTGGCATGTATATAAATTCCCAAATTAAAATGTTATCTAGAAATACTGTATAATACTCAATAATATATAAATTAATGTATTTGTATATATAATAATTCGGTGTTTTAATTGATGTGATATTAAAATTTGAAATGTGCGTATCTGTAAATGCTGAAAAATTATTACGTCCGGAGTCCAATGACTCACCTTCACGTGGAGCTGACAGGAAAATAAAAAAAATCGTTTGTGATCCGGCCTGCTAACACCGTTCCTCCTGTATTATTCTGCGTTATTCATGTGCTATTGTAATGATATTGATGTATTATCATGTTATTATAATATAAAAAATATTTTTAAAATATAATAACACATTAATATCAACACAATAATATATGAATAATAATAATGCAAATTAATAACATCGACATATTGCCTTTGTGCTGTGCTGTGCTGTGCTGTGCTAAAATGATACATATTTTTTTATTTTTCCGGACTGCTTAAGCTCTTGGTGGTCCGTCCACCGTTCTCTGGAGGAGTAAAATACATCCGTGAATTTCTCGTGAATTTCCTCCGCAGTCCGACATGGCGTCGCCCCCCACAGGGAAGAGCGACACCAACGGCTCGTCGGCGCCTTCAAACCCTAACGATGGGGCACAGACATGTAACAACGCCGCCTACTTTGATGTCTCCGGGCCCGATGTGCGCTCCTTCCAGTGCCACCCTCTCTTAGTTTCTATTTTTTTTCCCTCTAGTTTTTGTTATTCCCTTTGGGAGTTAATTAAGGAAAATGCAGCATTTATTGAGTTTTCAGCGAGCTGCGCTTTTGTAATTGCTGGAGTTTTTGGTTGTTGACGACGGAGCTATTTAGGGTTGGTCCAACTGATCGAATTTGGTTTCCAAAGTTCGATCTTGTCATTTAAAGAATTTATTGACACCTATTGGTACTCAGGAGCTCAAATTTATTCTGAATAGCATGCTATGATTCTATTAGAAAAATGTACATTGTAGTGCTAAGTGACATGTTTGGTTTATGTGTAAGAGACCGTAGGATTCATTATTGCACACTACTAAATACACAAAAAGATATGTTTTTTTAAGATGAATATCAATAAATACAAAAACTAAAGCTCAAATGAAAAATGAACTAATGAGAAATTTGAGCAATAAGTGAACAAATGCAATTGATTCACCATAGTAAAAATCCCAAATATTCCAAGTTGAAGCAAAATTAAAAACACTAATAATATGATAAGATATGTTTTAAAAAATTATGGAAAGGAAAGAAACAATGTAAAAAAGTTTATATCTCATGCCATTGCAAAGAGATGACTTCCCACAACATTAGGTGCTCACTCTTGTATCACACTTGATGCAATTGCACATTCAATTTGAACTCAAAGAAATTGAAACATGAAAAAAGAAAATTTATTTAATCAAAAAACATTTATTACATGCCTCAAAGCATCTATTTTATACTCTTCATCACTAAGTTAGTGGATATGGTTGACATATGTCAACTTAATTCAATTCTAGACAGTCATCAAATTCAATTTTGATTGCATCTGTAATTAATTCACATATAATATAGAAAAACCTATTTAACCCATTTGAAAATCATGACATAGAAGGTTGAATATACTGCATGTCAGGAGAACAATAGCTATTACTAGAAAAGAAGCATAATAGCACTCATAGATGTTGGTAACTTATAGCAATAGTAACAATGGAAATAATCATTGGAAGAGCTTGAAGTAATAAAACTCAACGAAAATAGAGGCATAACTTCAACTCTAAAAGTTGACTTCTCCAACATAATAATGTGGCATCATAAGTAGAATAGTACGTAACACATGTATTGAAATATCACTTTTGAACTTGAGATTAGCTTTGAATCAAAATAACCTGATCCATTCCCATAAAAACCTTAGTAAATGGAAATCACATCTCTTTCTCAAGGCAACTATTATAAGTATGCTCTAAACTACTAAAATTAAGGCATGAAATAAACCAATTAAATCAACTAATGAAGTCAAATAATTTTTTCTCAAATTATTATTTGTTTCTTTATGTGTTTATTTACAAAATTTGCAAAGCCCCTAGATTAGAGAACAGTAGAACTTATGTTAGGATGCACACTGCGATAGACCACTGCCCAAACAAATTTGCACACTCCCATTTTAAACCCTAAACCCGGAGTCGCCACGTGACGGAGCTCGAACAACTTCAAGAGACTCGGCACATGGAACAGAGCTACTTCAACTAAACCATTCCCTATATTTAATCAATAAAATTTGGCTTCGAGGTAGTTCGTCTAGCACGACGTAAATTCTCGCAATATTTTTAGGCTTCTGCACAACCGTGTTATGTAGCATAAGTCCTAAGTCTTTTTAGGTTATGAGATTATTGTTTGGTACGACGTAAACCCTCCTATCTTCATAGGCCGTTTGCATGATTGGACATCATGCAAGTGTAATCCCTAAATAATAAAATTAGTTGGAGTAAACATTTAAATAACATCACTTCAAGATATGCAACCAAACAATAGAATAGTTTGAGAAGTCACTGATGTTCTCCTCAGGATCCGTGACATCCCCTACGCTTCCCCTCATTTGGACTTCTGAAATAACTGTTCTCACTTGGTCCTTCACTTAATTTTTCAGGTCTTACTGTGAAAATCTGAACGTTGAATTTCTGAAGACTAGTGACTCTGATCATTATCGAGAGTTTTTTTAAGTGACTTCGGTCATTTGAGATATGATTAACTAAAGGGTTTGTTCTTATAGGGAACTTAATAACCCAAATAAAATAAACCTTATCTAATATTTATATTAGACAGAAAAATTTATCGGTTATACATAAGAGGTTTGAAGGCCAAACGAATGTCATAAATTAGATAATTTATGTAATCGAGTCGGCCGTCCAATATTATGCCCATCTCAGGATGTGAGAAATTACTTTTGGTGTTTTGTTCGAGTGTTTAAACTAGTGAATATATGGGATATGTTTGGTTTCACATTTTTCAAAATTGAAACACTTTTCAAAAATCAAAATTATATTCATATTAAACTAAATTATATTTAAAAAAAATGTTGACCGACACCTAACTGTTGGTAAAACCGACTATTTAACCCAATAGAATTAAATGTGCTATGGAGAATTTTAATCGTATCTCACTTAGAGTAAGGAGAATATGTCAAGAAAAATGTGAACACTTGTCATGTGGTCTGTGGCTCTTGAATCAAAAATCCACGGACCCGAAGAAGCAAAGCCCATGAGAGTCACAAAAACTTTACCTTGACAAACATGAGAGGTTGATTGGCCAAAGGAGAACTGGCTAGAACCAAATAGACTAATCAAATGTTCTGCCTGATTCTTAATAGAGTTCGGTGAGTTTGGAATGGTCTGAGTAGGGGTCGACTGAGCTATTGTGGATTCTAAATTCGTAGCTTCTAGCACTTGTCAATGGTATGGTAGGGTTTGTGGCAAAATCACATGTGAAGTGGTTAGCTTGAGATGATTTGATAGTATGGATTACTCTCGGAGTTCAAGGCTGGCGGTTTGGCCGAGGAAGTTGAGTTGTCGGGCATGATAAGTTTCCTTCTTTCTTCGTGGCGGATCTCGATGAATATTTCCCAGGTTAAAGGAAGATGGTCACGTCTAAGTATATAGCTACGAACTTCATCAAGATCCTTGTTCGGGCCAACCAAAAATTGAAACACACGATCCTTTCCCAAAATCTTATGGAAGAGAGAAAGATCTACGGGATAGTCCCAAAAGATTGTCTAGAGGGAACTTCCAGATGCAAGAAATAGTTAAGAACGGAATTAATTAGCCATGACATAACCATAAAGTTCTCCACTTCCCAGGCAACATATGCTGGGTCAGTCCTCAAAGGTTCTTGAATTGTATTCATGAGATGGCTGAATTTACCCCGACCTTTGACGAGCAATGAAACAGCTTGAGACCACTTGAGGAAATTGGATCTGTTGTGTTTATGAGTGGTAATCGAAAATTCCTGTAGTGTTCTACGGAGGGATTGAGTTAGATGCTGAACCTCAGTTGGAATCAAGAACGACATTCGATGGAAGTTCGGAGGTGGAGGAGTTAACCATGGCTCCAATGGAGCCATAGAAGAGGATTGGCCGCCAAGATATGAAAGAAGTCGATCCCTTCATCTGGCAACATGCAAGGAAGACTTTTTTATTGTAGGAAGGAGTTTCAGCTAGAGAAGGGTCTTCAACAGGTGATTTCGGCTTAGGAAGGAGTACCTGCCCTGGAGAAAAAAATAGAAGGAAAATTTCTGTTGCAGGAAGAAGCCTGGAAGGAGGTCAGTGGGGAGAAAAAGGGGCCTGCTGGGGGATTTCTAACTTTAGGAAGGGGATTCGACCACGCAGGTGGAGGTCCGGCGGCCAGGGTAAGATCTCTGACTCTGATACCATATAGGTTTGAAGAATTGAGCCAGATGCATTTATTGATAAGAAATGTTGGCTTAAATACAACTTAGTAGAATCTTAAACTTAGGAAAGAAATAACACATATATCTCTGAACTTAGAAAAGAATCCTAAACTTAGGGGATAAATGACACCCATTTCTCCAACTTACAAAAATCAAATCAAATAAACTAAAAATAGAAACTTCTATAACTAGCCGGGAATATATATATATATATATATAAACTTAAATAGGAAATAACATGAATTAAATAAAATTCTAATATAACTTCTATGAGTAGCAAATTGACAAAGTTTTTTGTTGGTGTATTATTTTTCTTCTGATTTGACCAACATTGATGAAGTTATTGATTTTCCATTATTATTAGTAGTATTATCCACATTTGATTAAGTTTTGACATATATTGCCATAGGCCGATGGGAAAAATCCATTGAATACCTATAGTATGGTAGCTATATTGATGCATTTTGGTATGGAAAACACTACTTGTAGAAATTAAAACATCAAGTTACTCATACTTTTCACAGATCAAGCCACATCCGTATCGAAGCAATTAATAACTTATTAAAAGCCATTTAAGCATTCAAATAAAGCTACTAGAAAAAGTTCAAAATTTGCTTGAAATTTAACTTATGTCTAAATCATCTTGATTTGATGACGCTGGAGTTTAACGGGACGCGGTGCTGTAGCTGACACACTACCGCGGTCCAACCCTTCTGCCCCCTTTTCCTATTTGATTCTTTTCCTTATCTATTACATATACTATTCCTCATAATATATAGGTGCTATTTATTTTGGTTAGGGTCAGTTTTAGCATTCCAGCTTTCAGATTTTTGTCCAATCCAGCCGCCGGGGCTGTTTTTTCTTCTAGGGATGTATTTGAATGCTAGGAGGTGCTTCGGCTATAACTTGATCTCACAGGGATACTTATCTTTTCCAAATCCTCTCCATAGTCCACCTTCTCATGTTTTCCTTGCTGCCAGCCCCATTCCCCACTTCATGCAGCCGCTGTCACTCCGATAGCTCCTCCACATGCTGCGACAAGACCTCCCTCTCTCCTAGCCAGCTGCCGCCAGCCCTCTTCCCTTCTATCCTGCTGTCGCCTCCCTCTTCCTTGCTATCCTACTGCCGTCGTCCCTTCTCACTGCTTTTTAGTGTTGCAACCATGCCATTCCAAGCCTCCAGTTGTGCCCACAATCTTCCAACCAACCCCTCTTCTTGTTGTCCAGCCGCCATCCACCACCTT